CCCTCTTGAAGTGTGGCGCCCAGAACTGGATGCAGTACTCCAGCTGCGGCCTGACCAGTGCTGCATAGAGAGGGAGGATCACCTTCTTGGACCTGCTCGAGATGCATCTGTGGACGCATGATAGGGTGTAGTTAGCCTTCCTGAGTGCATCCCCACATGGGCGGCCCATGTTTATTTTGGAATCAGTAGCGACTCCAAGATCCTTTTCTGCCTCTGTACTTTTGTTTGGGCAGAGGGGGGAGTGGTGCGCAGGGGGGACCCAACATTGACACAGGCAGCTTCTACCCCAGGGTCAGAGCCAGGAGCCCTACACCCCCAGGTAGTGGCTCCAGCCCCGTGGGCCTGTGCTGAGTGGCTGGGTGCAGTGCCCACTGCAGGGAATGAGGCTGGGCTTGCAGCTTGCAGCATGTGGGGCAGGAGCAAAGTTGGAGCCACTGGTTGGGGGGGTGGGGAGGGAGAAGGAGCATGGCCCTTGTTGCTATACGCCCTCCCAGAGGGCTGCAAGCTGTGGAGCTGTTCTGGGCTGCTTCCGGGGGGCCCATGACCTCTGGATCTCCGCAGGATGAGAGCCAGCTGCAGGTTGGGGCCAACAGTGGCACCAGGCTCTTCCTGGCGCTTGGGCAGGCGGCAGCCTGCTCTTGTCCCGCATGCAGATCCAGGGGCCCACGCCCCCCATGAAGAGCTTGGCACAGCCCTCCTGGGGGATGTGGTCCTCTGGATCTGCGTGCAGGACAAGAGCAGGCTGCCGCCTGCCCAGAGTACCAGGAAGAGCCTGATACTGCCAGCTGGGGCCAGTGGCGGCGGCAGCCACCACCTCACTTCGCACACAGATCTGGGGGCACGCGCCCCCGGGAAGAGCCTGACATAGCCCTTGGTCCCCCCAGGGGATGTACAGCAATGGGAGCTGCACCCCCTGTCCCCTACCCAGTGCCGGCTCCCCCCCTGCTTTGCTTCTGGCTGCAGCACCAGGAGCAGCTGATTGACTGCACCATACCGCTCCCCCTGCCCCTTCTCTAGTCCTAGTCTTCCTCCCTCCCTCACTGCTGATTTCCCCCCCCTCCCCTCTTTTCTTCCTTTAATCCTAATTTCATCCTGGTTTGTTTCCAAGATAAACCCTGGCAAATTCCTGGGTGGTTTTTTTTTCTAAATAAAAACTGAGAATGCAGAACACTAAGCATCTGTTGCCTGTTTTCAGTCTCATAGTGTTTACAAAGCTGTTACTTTAAGCCCTATATGTATTTGAATAAAAATGCACTGAAGTCCTGCCTTGCTTTTCAGAATTTGATGCTCAGTTTGGCCCTCTTTCAGGCTTTGCTCGCCTGAAATACCTTATCCCACCTTCTGTGAGCTGCCCAATATATAATGTTTGCTTTAATTGGGTATTCAAATTGGGTATTTGTGTGAGGATGGGCTCCATATATGTTTCCCACAGATTCGAAAATTGGTTACTAAAGGATGATTGGGGCAACACTTCTATCTATTAGAGAGAGAGAGAGAGAGAGAGAGAGATAATGGATATACATTTTATTCCTAATATTGTCAGCGAAGCAAGAGAAAAGGATGAAGAGCCACAACAGATGCTGCTTTTTTAAGCTGCAGAATATTCAGTGCCAGAAGGTGTTGAGGCACGCACACTTCTTTTGTATGCATTTTAGATTCCTAAGATTGTATAGACACTCTATACGATATAGTAAGTGAATTGTTTAACTTAATTTTATGCTTTAGGCTAAGTTCTGTCCCCCTCATCCCACCCTGGAATTCTGAGACTCGTGTTCAAGCAAATAAAGTATTAATGAGTTTTGGAATGTAACTGAAGTGAAAAATGTAAATGTGTGGGGGGAAAAGGGAATGAAGCTCTTCATGGGCCATTACTGGTTAATAGTCTTGGTGGAGAGGTAAGAATCCTAGTAAACAGACTTTTCCTGGAGCAGTAGGGGCCAACCTTTCTGGCAAGCGCGCCACAAATTGTGCTTGTACCCTCCCCGAGTGCCACTCTGATTCCTTTCCCTTAACTGATCTGCTGCTCAGACTTCTGCTCCCTGCCCTAGCTGTTGCTCTTTTTGCTTCTTGCTCTGTGTTCCCTGTCCCTTCCTCAGTCTGTCTTGCACAGACAGTGCTCGGGCCACTTTTGGCACCTGTGCTGCAGGTTAGCCATCCCCTGTCCTAAGGTGTTAAATGGTGCTTGGTGCCTTCTGAGGACTGCTGAAGAATTGGCTTGGTCTGTTTGGGTTTTTGGGATCCCAGGAAATGTCTTTGAGAACCTTTGAAATGTTCTACCCCTCCTCCCCAGCCCCTGCCTGCGTAAGTTGAATATTCATGTTGGAAATAGACTTAAAATAAGTGGTTTGCCAAAAGTACATACTGTGACCCCAGAGAGGTAAAAGAAGGAAAGGCTTGGTTAAAAAAAAATTTCTGTTTTGTATTCTGTTTTCCTTCTTGGTCTTGGTAGTTTTTAAATGAATAAAGTCCCTTTCTGTAGGGGTTGTCTGAACAGTAATTGAATGGCAAAGGGTGAATTTACCAGGCAGGACCCAATTGTTCAAGTGGCCATTGAATTATTTCCTCTGTACAGCAGAGGTGCCAGTTCCCCAAGTGCAGATCTACAGTGGCGATATTAATAATAAGTATTTGCAAGGAGTCCCTGTTTAGTTGATGCATTTCATCTTGTTGCCAATAAGCACAGTAAGCAGATAAGCTACGTCTGTCTACCTGGCAAGAAAGCACTTTGACATGCTGTACTGAAAATTAATTCGTATTATAGTTTCATAGTTAGTAGGGTCGGATGGGACCTGAG